ACAAGGGGGGGGGGGGCGCTATAGCCCCCTCTGGCGCCACCCATGTAGCCCAATATCTTAAATTGAAATCGTTTTGTTCTTTCTGATAGTGATTCAAAAAACAACATGGATGTGACACTGCCCTCAACGTGGCTGTGACTCAGATAACTGCATTGTTGTTCGTCTTGTCTTTTCCTATAGGTACAACTCTAATTTATTGATTAAAATTCTTTCAAGTTGCTGCTGTTGTTGGTAGTATGTGTCTAATATATTAGCAGCGATCTTGTTATCATTTTTAATCAATTCTGGCTTCAATATATTGTGAGTTGATTTACATTTGTTCTTTTGGCAATTCACGTGAATGAATACAAATTCTTAATATCACATGGGGAAAAAGGGTGTAATTATTAACTAACCCCTCCCCCCGCCCCTTTTATCGTTTTCCCCATTTTTAAAATATTCAAAATTTTTCTTCAAATATGCTTTTTGTGGCTTAGTAAATTCAGTTGTGCACAACATATCAAAACAAATTTTTACTCCGGAGCGTGGCTTTATAATATCATAGTATAGATATAGAGGAGAACTGGACCTGGATGCTTGAGAGTTAAGCTGTAAGTCAGGCCATACTGTATTTTTTTTAATAAAATGTTACGTCAAAAGGAAAATGTTGGCATAAAATCGACATTGGTGAGATATTGGTTGGGCCTAAACCGGACAAGAAAAAACCACTTCTTACGGCCTCGTAATGGTATTCTCAGAATTTAACGTGCACAAAACAAAATGTTGTGAAATATCTGGGTAAAGGTACATCATCTTATTTTTTTTGTCTTTATTGAGTACGGTAGGCTTTCTAAATGTTGAATATCGTTTAAAGCAATACAACTAAATCGTTATATTTAATATATATCATGGTATTGCACCAGAATGCTAAATGAGCTTAGAAAGGTTTCCAATGGACACTCATATTTTTCCAAGGGACATCAAGAACAAAAAAAACCCCACTTATATCACCACTTTTTGTTTTAACAGTATAAATTTATGCAATAGTTTACCCACACACAGGGCTATTTGGTGTCAGAAGTGCTTTAAACAAAGTTAAAATGTATTCGTCCCAGCAACAGAAACGTTATATTTGATTAAGATGCTTGTTATGTTGTTTCATAAAATAAATTTTGTCACTTTATTTACATATTTATTTATTTATTTTTAATTAATATTTTTTCTTCTTTTCTTCTGTTGTTTAAAACTGTGCCTTTTATTTTTTTGTTGTGTGAACTAGAATTTCTTTTTACTTTTTGATGTTTTTCTTTGTCTTTGTGAATGTTTTAATACTTATGTAATTTTTTTCTAGAATTTTCTATTGTTAATTGAGTTTTTGTTCTGAGTATGAAGTAAAAACAAACGCCGGCGCACCATCATTATCATTGTAATCATCATGATGGTCAACATCATCACCATCATTATCATCTTAATCATCATGATTGTCAACATCATCACCATCATTATCATTGTAATCATCATGATGGTCAACATTATCACCCTCATTATCATCGTAATCATCATGATGGTCAACATCATCACCATCATTATCATTGTAATCATCATGATGGTCAACATTATCACCATCATTATCATCGTAATCATCATGATGGTCAACATCATCACAATCATTATCATCTTAATCATCATGATTGTCAATATCATCACCATCATTATCATTGTAATCATCCTGATGGTCAACATCATCACCATCATTATCATCGTAATCATCATGGTTGTCAACATCATCACCATCATCCATTTATTCCAAATGAGGCTATAGAGGGGGATTTTTTAGAGGCCTTTTTAGAAGGGAAGTTTATTAAAATCACGGTGTTTATTCAAGTGAATTCATTAACGGTATATGTTTTTTAACAAGTTGTTGGCATGCGTTTAAAAAACGATACTTGCAGAACGATTTTTAATGTCAAAATCTCTATGTACATTTCTCTTGTTAAAGTCGTCTATAGGGGTGATTTGAATGAACGCCAAACAAAAAATCCCTCCAAATCCCTGGAAAGTATGGTTATGGATTTGAAAACCTTATTTAATCAGATTAAGAGTTCAACAATACAAATTCCTGCAACTAATTGTGCTTTTTGCTTCTCGAAGGGTATAAGGGGAGGGGGAAGTCCTCACATCCTGGCCCCAGTGGTACAACTCCTGCTAGCCTAACCAGGCAAGTATAAACGTGCCTCAAAAATGCACATACAGCACAATAATAATCATTAATTCATCAATCGATTTACCAATTTACATTTTATTTAAAAACCTGCATTTTGCAGAAATAAAACCTAATTATGTAATTTACAAATTGGATAGAAAGAAAAACCTCAATAGATAAAAATGTTTAAAAATTCAAATTGACCATTTCAAAAAATAATACAAGTCAGGTCACGCCGGTCCCCAGGGGTAAATTTTCCAATTGGAATGAGGACGAATATTATTAATAATATAATCTTGAAAATACTATACATACAATAACCAACAAGGCAAGCATTTTTGATATCAATAATGTTTATGTACCTTTATAGTTTGAAAAAGGGACGAGGATATGACCATTCTGGGCCGTAGCCAGGATAGCCAAAACCAGACCAAGTGGGGATGTGGGTACTGCCTAGAAAATCGGGCAGTGTCAAAGGGAAAAGGCTTTTAGATCGCAGCTTTGGTATTGTACAGCATTGTTGGATATGGAGAGATTAATTGTTTTATTTTATACTAGGTACATCTTTCAAATGTCTGTGGACCATTTTCGATTTGGAAGGTGTGTATAATACACGCACCCATCACACCTTTGGATACGGTCTGCCGCCTGCCATTGTGTGACTAGCCTTCTATTTTTTATTTTTGTGGAAGCTTAGATTTTATATTTAAAAAAAAAAACTGCATCCTATACTGGAATGATTTGGGCCATTTTATTTTAATTATGCAGGAATTCAGATATGTAGCACTGTCCACCATCTTTATCTCACTCCAGCAGACTGTAAAGTAAGCTGTGCGAGGAATATATTCTCTGGGCAAACATTTTGCCTAGAAATCTATCCGCGCATTTTTCGGAAAATAATGGTTGATTTTCCACACAGATTTTGCCAAATATTAGGCCTTGACCTAATATTAATATATAACAATGTATTATGCAGTAATTACGACTCTGCGCATCTATTTTCCTTGCGATTTTCAATGCAAATTTGAGATAGTGTTTGAGATATCCCATAATTACAAAAGTTTGGCCCAGGCATAAACATGTAATCAAAACATTTCAATTAAATGAAGGTATTTTCCTTAAATTTCTTAAGATATGACACTTAAAAATATTTTTAAAAATCTTATTGAAAAAAACTTGTTTGGCCTTTCAGTATCAAAATTAGCTTATTTAGCTGGTGTAAAAATTATACTATCTTTATATAATGATAAAGTGTTTATTATTATGTACAATTGCATTATATACATAATGTAAAGCGCTTAGAAGCCTTGTGGTGTTAAATGCTATGTAAGTCTAACATATAATTATTATTATTATAAATGCATTGTTGTGATATAAAAACAAAATATATCACATAATTAATGTAAAGCAACTTGGCTGTCACAAAAATATGATTCTATGTTTAAAGAATATAAAAGCACAGTATATATTTGTATAATACTGTTATATTTACCAAATGTACAATATTAAATTATGTATTTCCTATATATACTGTATTATATTATCATTTACTTCCTATATAACATATCAAATCATCATGTGTCATTATTTGCCATATGATACACTGTGGCATTAAACTCTATTGAGTGTCGTAATCGCAGTGGTGGGGGAGGAAATGTATAATATTAAATTATGTATTCTCTATATATACTGTATATTATCATTTACTCCCTATTTATCATATTAAATCTTGTGTCATTATTTGCCCTATGATACACTGTGGCATTAAACTCTATTGAGTGTTGTAATCGCAGTGGTGCGGGTGGGGGAATTATCCCTGGCCTAATCAATGTCTATTTGTCTTTTGAAATCGTCAGTACCAATGTGTAGCTATGTTCTGTCATTATTCTTCATGAGTTTCCTGGTAGTACTTCCGTAGTTTTTTAACGACTGCCTCCGTTCTAAGTTTTTCCAATACATCACTCATCTTTACAAGGTAGTTTACTTCAGTGTTTTGCCTTTCTCGCCACATAACCAGCATTTCCAGTCTTGCATCCACAGTTGGTGGTGAAAAGTCCAGCTCATCTTTATATCTCAGGTTTCTTTAGACCAATGATGCTGCCATAGGATTTCCAATCCTTTCCAAGCTCCTCTGCAATGAATTGCATATCAATGTCTCATAAGAATCCTAAACGAAAAGAAAAGACATCAATATTAAAACACTTTCAGAACATTGTGGACTTCACAGTTCGGCCAATACAAAGGTTGGTAAAATGTGTCCTGTCTATACACCATTTTATTGGGAATATTTTGAAAAAGCGAAATCTATGTAAACGGAAAACAGATGACGGAATCAATTGAAAGCGATACTGAGGACATATCGTAATACAGTATCGATCTGTTGTTCCAACATGAAACATTCTAAAAATTTCATTTTAAAAATACATTTAAATAATAATAGACAAGTTGAGTGACTGAGTGGTAAAGCAGGGGCTTTGCTAAGTACAGCCTTAACATTGGTGCTGGATGGGTCACTCCTTGCCCAGGGTTCAGTTGGTAGCACCAAGTTTTCTCAAATAAGGAATGAAAACCAGAGGTCCACTGTATTGGCTTGTGTTCAAACACTGCATTTTTTAGAAGAGTATGGGGTTACCCCGATGCTATGCTTTATTTCATCCCTTGCCTTTGTGGAATGATGAAAACATGAACCTACTACCCATCTACGATGGCTAAATAGTCACAAATAACGCCCATATGCAATTCAGCACAATGACATTGCAAGTTATGGGTTGTTATTCTGCTACTTTACATTTAACATATATCATATTACCAACCTTTGCATTTCTGGTGCACTTGATGTAATCGTCCACTAGCAAGTACTCTAACTGCTTTTAAACTGGATGGTTGATCTTCTGATACCTTTGAGCTGAAGAACTTGTTAGCAAGTTCTCTGTGTTCTTGCTCCTTCCATGCTCTGCACATTTTCTCAACATGATTTTTCCCAGCGAGATTTAGTCTTTTTCTGCTTTTTGTGTAGCCCAATATCGTATTACAAATTGTTTGTTCGTTTTGATAGGGATTCATAAAACACATATGACTCAGATATTCTGCATTGTTGTTTGTCGTGTCAAGAAAACATGATTTCAAATGGAACATGCGGATGCAGATTTTTGTTAATTTACGCAATAGTAATGATCTACCTGGTATTTGGTAAATGTTTCTCTATTATTTTCACAATATTACATAGTTCGTGCCACAACCTGTTTAGTCCATACATGATAGGTACCTGTACCACTAATTCATTGATTCAAGTTCTTTATGTATGTTGGTAGTAGTCGTCTAATTTATCAGCAACAATCTTGTTATCATTGTCAATCAATGCTGCCTTCAATGTTGTGAGTTGATTTACATTGCTTTCTTGTCTGTTCCTCCATCGGACAAGCATTTCTAAAGTGGCTTCCACAATCTGTCTCTGAAACTTTGTATCTACATCGTCAATTTCTGTTTCTGTTATTCTAAGACTCCTGGCAACAGCTTTCCAACCTCTACCCATCATCTCAGATACAAATAATAGAACATAATCTGGAATGTACCCTAAATTAAAGCAAAATTAACTCAAAGTTAAAAATACACAATAAAATATATTGGATAGATTTAAAATAAATGTTTCCCATTCCTTTGCCCAGTCAACTAGGTAGGGTCTGAGATTGCGCCCTGAGTGGAGATGGATGGTGACTTCCTGAAGACTTTGCAATTATTGTTTTGCCATTTAAATTTTTTTGTTATCATTTAATTAAAATAAAAACAGTTTCTGAATAACCTATGAGGTTCCTATGTGCATGATACAAGTGATTTGCAACTGCAAAGAAAAGTCACTATATAAATTACAATTATTATTATTATCAAAAGTATATACATAATAAAATATTGGATACATTTAAAAAAAAAGATTGAATATAATTATAAATATTTTAATCAAATTCATTTTCACCAACCTCGTACTATTCTATGTTGTGTTGAAATTTCAGGTGGATTTGCAGCAGCTTCGAGGTCGTCTGTGTAGCCACGCCTTTTACACAATCGTTCTGCAACTTGTACAAGTCCCTGTTCTCTCAATGCGCTGATCATGATTGGCATTTGGTTTGTTGATTGGCCATCTCTCCAAGTCACCAGAGTTTCCATGATGCCATCTTTCAGTGTGTTGTTGTCTGCTATGACATTAATCTTGTTCCACCCAAGTCCAAGTCGCACTAATAGTCTCCTCCAATCAGAGCCCAGATCTTCACAGACAAACAGCAGGTCTTGATCATTAAAGGATGCTGGTTAATCAAAGAAATAAAAAATGGAAGATTTATTAATGATTTCTGGTGAAATAAGGAAACATTTAAAAACCAAACCCATAATATTTAAAAGTATCAACAAATAGGTTTTCAGACTAGGACCTTGAGGTCAGAGGTTTGAAACTCTCGCTGTGCAAGTTGCTTGTGTGCTTGGGTGGCACTTTATCTACGTTTGTCTCTCTCTACCCAGGAGTATAAATGAGTACCTGGTAGGATGTTGCGGTATTGGATGTACTATTTTTGTGCGCTAAAGTATGCAGCAAATGACTAGGGATATTTCGCAGGGAGCAGAGAATGTTGCCCTTTGCGCTGGTTTTGTCGTATAATTACGCTTGTGCCTTTGATCATTCAATTTGAAATTGCTGCCTTATAAATATTTGGGTATTATTATTATTGTTATAATTACCTGGCCAGAAAATGTTTCAATTTAATTTTCAATTAAAAGCTAATAATACATTAAGCAATTTAAAATGGTTGTTTTTTGTCATTTTCCACACTCTGATCTGATTTAACAATAAGCATTTTTGTGACTGACCAAACTACACAACAAAGAATAATATTAAAATGATGTATTTTAAATAATATTAATTAATGAATATTTAATCATGAATAATGCATTACTAACCATCGTATTCATGGTGTGCTGTGGGTAATCTTCTACTGGTATCTCCACCTGCATTTGCATTGGCTTCTTTAACCTCTGACATTTGAGAGTCAAAGATTTTGTTAGCAAGCTCTGTGAGTCCTTGTTCCTTCAAAGCTCTGCACATTATCTCAACTTGATTTGTCTCATAGTTCTGTTGTTTCCTCCATTCTGTCAGCATATCCATTATGCTCTCTGGCAATTGTCTCTTATCACTCCATATTTGTTGGATCCTCTTCCAACTGAGACCCAATCTGACGCCCAGTTGTTTCCACTCCATTCCCATGCCCTGGGCGATACGAAGCAGGTGCTTCTCTTCAAGATAACCAAGACGTTCATCTGAAGTGAAAATAAAAGTAAGTCTAGCACAATAAAATAATTGGAATAATAATATTATTGTAACAAAAATAGTATATAAAATCAATAATTATAATAATACCTAATAGTCATATAGCTCTTAAAAAAAAAAAAAAATTTATGAGACACAAAATAGTAATAACCTGGTGGCGCTGTTTCAGCATCACTGGAACCTGCTGCTGGCATTGAAGAATCTACAAATGAATTAAAAACAATTTAATACAGAATCAAATGACTAAAATTGACTGCTGTCTATCACATTACATTGATCAGGACAAAATCAGCTCACATAAAGTTTTAATGGTGAATTTATACTAAATCAGAAGTGGGCATAGGCCATCTGCAGCCCAACAACAGTTTTATTGCCACCTCGAAAAAAAGAAAAAAAATTTGAAAAAGCAGTATGCAGCAAAACCATCTTCAGTTGGAAAAATTTTTGTTGGTATCAAGCTGGTTGTCTGTAATATTAATAATAAAATGGGATAATTCTGGAAATAAATCATGTTATAATTTCTGGGATAACTTTTGAATTTTGCCTCTCTGTTTGCTTTACAATAGCTTTTGATATGAAATAAATCAAATAAAATCAAAACTGAGCATAAAGGGTTGTAAAAGCAGTGCATGAATGTTGTCAATCAAAAATTTAGTTTGGCCCTCTGACCACTTTTATCCCTTTATTACTGGATAAAGCTTTCAATATTAGACATTGATTTCCAAGGAGCAATTTCAAAATTTAAAAAAAAATCTATTGTATAATAAAAAAAAAACCATAATACTAGTATAGCAGTCAAGGAAATCAAACAAAATAGACAAGTTAAAATTGAATAACATATATATATACAGATTTGATATAGAGTAATTAAATGCTGAGATTAATACCAAGTGGAATTGGTCAATGAAATGTTACCTGGGTCATTCCGTGCCAACTCAACAAATTTTCAGAAAATCATGGCTAGGTACCGTCTCAGATTTTCTTGAAACTCGGATATAATGTGCACCAACATGTCTGACGAACAAACCCAAAATTTGACTTGCCAATTCCAAGTCGTTTAGAAGTTACGGCCATTTGAAATTTTAGGGTCATACCCCTTTTTAGCTATCAATTATGACATATTTGTAAAGTTGCATTTTCAATTAGCCATATCTTCAAATAGAAGAAAGATAATTAACTGAAAACTGATATCTAGACCAACTTTTGGCTGTAGAACAGGAATATGACATGAACTTTGGTATACCTGACCCCGTTACGAAAATATTGGTTCGTAAACACCCTAACTTATTTGGTTGTGTAATTTTTCTTCCATTTTTAGACCCCATTAAAATACCCAAATCAGTTATTAAATGGGTCTTATGCAACAAATTATTAATATATAGTTGGAAATGTTTCACCACAAAAAATTCCGGATTTTTAACTTATCATTTTAGGGGGTAATCGTAGGTCAAAAGGTCATTCAGGACAAAAATGCCTCATTTTCATAGTGACCTTTGACCCTGTGGGCAAGTACGCTTGTTGTTAAAACTTGCACCATTAA